TTGGTCACCTGGGAAGCTAGACAAACAGTTCGTTCTCTTGAAGACTGGCAGATAAATGGAAAAGATCAAGCATTTATTCTGTCTTAGGCTAGCTCAGCATAACGAGACAGTTATTTAGGAGAATATATCCTTTTAGAAATACTTTAACTAATAAAAAAGGTGGAATACCTTTGGAAATCCCCTGGAGAAATACCGGATGTAGGCCAGGTGGTGTCAAGGTGTGTTCAGGGGTACCTGGGAGCTCCTGACCCCCTCCCAGAGGCTCCATGAATTCAAGACCATTCTTACGACAATACCACAAGGATGTTTCAGTGTGTATTGTTCTCCGGAGACTGTAGGCATCAGACGGGATTTGGAAGCAGTTATGAAAATATAGCTGCCTTCTATCAAGTCAAATATTAAAGAGAATGGCAACTACAAAGCTGCTATTATCACTTTATTTTTTTAAAATACACGTTCAGTTTATTTTAAGTTAGTAAATAAACACATATTTTATTTTTTTTTTAAGATTTTATTTATTTATTTGACAGAGAGAGAGAGATCACAAGTAGGCAGAGAGGCAGGCAAGGTGGGGCGGGGGTGGGGAGCAGGCTGCCTGCTGAGCGCAGAGCCTGATGTGGGGCTCCATCCCAGGACCCTGAGACTGTTGGGGCCGATTCCCAATAAAACCTCTTAAACCCCTAGGGCCTGCCTGGGTCTACTTAACCATAGGAACTCCATGTTGCCTAGGTAGAGATTTTGTTGTTTAATAAACGCCTCAGCAGTTACTGAGATCAGTTCCAGGTAACCGTTACTAAAACACACACCTAAAACAAGGCCAGACAGGTGGAAACATCTAATCAGCCAAAGCCACGTACGTAGAGGTCTGTAGTTGTGCCCTGTAAAACTAGCTTGTAAGACTGAGGGGTTGTTGCTCTCTTTGGAGGCAGCCCTGGCTGGTCAGTCTGACTTCTAATGCTTGGCATAGAATAAAGCTTTGCATAACTTTCACTTTGTCTCAGTCTCATTCCTTTGATAACGGACCCAACAAGACCACGACCCGAGCCGAAGGCCCAGGCTTAACCCACTGAGCCACCCAAATGCCCCAGTAAATAAACACGTAATTTAAAAATGTATTCGTTTTTCTTTCTAATACAGTAACTCTGTAAAATTCTAACCCTCTCATGTGGTCGGGGGAATGTAAAGTGATTGAGCTGCTGAGGAAAATGGTTTGGCAGTTCTTCAAAAAGTTAACCAAGAATCAACCATTTGACCCAGACTTTTCACCTCTAAGTATAACCCCATAACAACAGAAAACAGATGTTCCGACAAATATGGGTACGAGCACTATTCACTATTGTGAAGGAAGAATCAGCCAAATATCCATCTGCGGATAAAGGGTGAGACAGATGTGGTAGATACATACAACGGAACAGCATTCCGTCATAGAAAAGGAAAGATACAATGATGCAACATGGATGAACCCAGAAACACAATTCTCTGTGAAGGAAACCAGACCTGACAGTGCTCGTGTTGTGTGTTCCATGTATATGAAAGTCTCAGAATAGGTAAGCCCATGGACATGAGGACAGTTATCAGTTAACAGGAGGTTGGCATGCGGGAGGGCTGGAGGTCACAGATGCATATTGGATGTGGCATATTCTCTTGCAGAGACAGATGTTTTTGGGAAGTCGTTAGAGCTCATGGTTGCACACCATTGAAATGTGCTAGATGCCACTGGACTGAACACTTTAAAACAATTTTATATTGTATTTCACCTCAATAAGAAACCAAGTAAGGAATTAGATAGTCACGCTGTGATGTCATATTCACACTATGTCATAGTCATCACTCTGTGATGTCATATTCACACTATGGTATGAAACTCTGGACTCTAAGTACAAGATGCTCCATTTTGAAAAGAATGGAAGGAAATGTGGAAAATCTTTGGAGATGAAAAATGGCCTACAAAGTCATAACAAATAGAATACTAGAAGTTTCCTCTTCAACAGTAGATTTGGGATGATAATAAGATAGAATTTGGCACTTGAATTTGAAATTCAGACATACCCAGACCTGTACACGCTGTCAGGATTGTGTGGACCTCACCGCGTGCATTCTTCATAGACAGGCGGCAGCAGAAAGCAAGCACCCCTAGCAGGAACAACATCACATAAATAAAGAAGAAGTCAAAACCCAAAAACATGCAGTTTGGTTGGACCCACCAAGAAAGTAAAAAACAGTGGGTTTTCCGCTCAGTCTATCTCAGAAATTTGAACCTCTCTGTGTCCCAGTACTGGGGAGTTGGGTCACTGTCACAGGAATCAGCCCCTTGAAGATCAAATTTGAGGTTTTTTCTGACTCTTAAGCATCTGTGGGCCTCGGGCTAAATAAAGCCAATCATTTCCTGAACTTACAAGGGAGTCTGTAAACGGACTCCCAAGTCTGGGACCGGGCAGGATGGGCGATGAGAATTTGGATGGTGAAGAGGTAGCGCAGAGCTGCTGCAGATGCAAACAGTAGGTGCCCCATTAATACTTGCTGGATAAATGAATGAGTGCATAATGAACAAGTAAAGTAGGTCAAAGCAATACAACGGGCTGCTCCTTTGCTCACTTTCCTCTGGCCAGTTTAGGGCCCCCAGGTGCTGTGACCAAGACTCCCTTGCAGAACTTGCACAGCAGGGGCCTGGGGCAGCTGTCTGCACTTCGGGGGAGGGGCACCTGCTGGCCCCTAGTCTGCAGAAATCTCACGTTTGGCTCCAAGATGTTTATCTTCTTTGCTTTTGGGGTAGAATTTGAGGGTTATATTTCTATTGTGGGGATCTTGGAGGACTCAGAGGTAAGTTTTCACCCATTAATCCTGTTCTCTCTCCTTTTCACCAGCAAAGGCAGGACCCCGTCATCTGAGCTTCCTGACCGGAGTACACTGGATGTCCAGAGATCCATGTCCCCTCAGGCTTTTGTTTGGGAGCCACGGGCCATTTGGGGAGGAGAATTTATAGCCCGAGTGTGGAGAAGCTGTGTCACAACCAAGCTCTGTGTGTACCTCTTGCAGGAAAGCCTGAGGTCTGGTTTGCATGGAGCAGGGGTGGTGGTGGTGAGAGGGGCAGCATACAGTGGGGAGGAGAGAGGGGTGGCGAAGCACCTGTTAGGTGCCTGGCCCTGGAATGAGGCTGAAGTTCTCAGGTTCCCTTTGAGTGTGCACCAGGATGCGAGGGCAGGCGCTCACGGTCATGCACCGGCATCCTCTCCCAGCCCAGCTGCCCTGCCTCCCTGTGCTGCCACGTGGCTCTCAGGGGAGTATCTGTCCTGTGGGAGAATCAGTCTGCTCACTGTGCTCACACACCACTAAGTTTTAACATATGTGCATGCCAGTGAACCAACAGCACACCCAACAGAGTCTTGGGTGCTCTACTCAGACTCAAGGCTCTCAGAGAAAAGAAAAAGGACAATGTTGACAGCAAGTAAGATTAAGTCTCTGCTGTGATTGTCTGTGACACAAAAAGCGAATGAGCTTATAAGAGGAATTGGATTCCCGGAATATTGCCCTGGCTCACATACGTTGTGATCAGTCTTGGATAAAGGCCACTCTTAATATCGTGAGCCATTTATTTCCAGGCATAGAGATCGTTACAATCCTCATTTTGCATTTTTCATCTACATAAATGGATCATCTTGGTGAAGGCCCCTATGCTTGGGTGTTATTACCACCTTTCTGCTAGATGATATGTAAATCTATGCAAATTTGTCATTTCTTCCTGATTGGAGAAAATCCAAGGATTCTCTTTACAGCTACCATTGATTAGGGACCTAATAGTCCACTCAGTGATGCTCTATATATTGTTACAACGTGCCAAGGGCATTCTCAGAGAAGACAGGATGGCATCTTAGGACAAACGCCTCTAAACTTTTGGTGAGAAGTGACAAGGTCCTTGGTCACCTATTGATCTTTCATTTAGTGTCAGAAAGGCCAAAATGAAGATCGAGGTTGGAGAGAGGCTCTATTGCTTGTGAACCTTCTAGAGAAATCTATCTTTGACTCCCAAGGTTCTCCGGGCCTCAAGAAGATTTGTTACTCCAAGCTCCAAAGCTAGAGAGCTACTGAAAAGAAGACCATATGCCAGTAGAAAATGTCACTTTCACTCTCACAAATGGCTGTGTTTTAAGATCAGTTTTGTTGCATTGTACACGGCAGTGTTGATCGTATTTGATTTGGGGTTTGGATCTGTAGCACGGCACTCCGGGTGGTGTCTGCAACACTTTGCCTTTTTGTGAGTGATGGTCAACATACACTCCCCCACCATGAGAATGTGGATGAGAGGGATGAGGCAGAGGGATGACATGAGCAACAGGGACAACAGGGCCCCTGAGGACACGGGGACTGGTGACGACAGAGGGCCAGTGCGGAGAGACTGGGAGAAGTTTGAGCTGGATGGATAAACCTAAAGCTTCCTTCCAGGTCAGAGTGAGCTCCAGGAGCTGCTGACATGACCCTCTTCTTTAGGGTGGTGGGAGGACAGGACTGGGCCAGCAACGTGACCTGTCAATGTCACGGCGGCTCTTCTAAGATAGTAAGTATGAAGGGACTAAAGATGGGGAAGCAGCTGAAGGCTGGGGAAATTAAAAAGTCAGTGTTACAGCCGGGCTGGAGTGGAAACGAGAGGCGAGTGGGAGGCCCGGGGCTGTTGGAGGTGCAGCTCTCCTCCCCTGGTTGGCGTGTGTATAACTTGCTTCGCTCAAAGCCCAATGTCAGACCTGGAGATCTGCCAGCTGAAGAGGAAGTCCCTGTTGAGCTCTGAGCAGAGCTGCTGAAGCCTGAGACCAGCAGCGGCTCCGAGAGTCTCTGGGGAGATGCTGCTCCTGCTGCTGGTGCTGTCCATGGTTTTCTGCCTGGGCCGTGGCGGTGAGGAAGGTAGGCAACAGGCCACACCAGCACGGGGACGGGGTCCAGATAAAGCCCCGGAGGGTCAGGGTTCTCCAGCCCCACCCACCACCCTCCAGACCGGGGGAGGGGGTCTGAGGCCCTGGGGACGAATGTCTTGGACTCTGTTGCTCTTCAGACCCTGGGTCCCTTTTCTCTGGATCTTCCCAGTGTTCGTCCTCTCATCGTCCCCTGCTTCTCCCTTTCTCCTCACGTTTGTCACCCTTCCATTCCCCACAGCCTTTCAGGGGCCCACTTCTTACCAGGTCATCCAGATCTCGTCCTTCATCAACAGCAGCTGGGCCCAGAGCCAGGGCTCAGGCTGGGTGGGCGACGTGCAGATTCACGGCTGGGACAGTGCCGCAGACAGGGCGGTCTTCCTGAAGTCCTGGTCCAAGGGCAACTTCAGTGACGAGGAGGTGGCGGAGCTGGAGGAGCTCATCCAGGTCTATCTCAGCGGGTTTGTCCTGGAAGTGCAGGACCACGCCTCCGAGTTCCAGATGCAGTGTGAGTCCAGTCCTCTGACGCAGGGGCTCTCAAGGACTTTCCTCTCCCCTGCTTCAGGCCACGACTCCCTCTGATTCCGACCCCCCACCCCCCTGCCAGCCAACACACAGACTTCCTGCATCACCCAGCTGCACGCACACACTTCTCTGGAGAAGTTGCACCCCTGACCCCACACCCCCTCAGAGCATTCCACACTGTCCTGCTGCCCACCCTCTGCTCTGCCAGGTGAAGGTGCCCCTTTGTCACAGCTCTGGATTGGCTCCTGGGTAACTTGCTTCTCTCAAACCCCAAGCAGGATGCCCCACTTGTCTTCCCCAATGCCTGAGCGACCTCTTCCTACAATCCCCCTCTTGGAGGCTCCTGCCTGGGCCTCTTTCCAGTGCACTCCTCCTACTGACCCTGGATGGCTGGCCCCCAGCCTCCACACTCAGCCCCCTCTCCCCTCTGACCTCATAGGTCATCTCACCTCCTTCTCTACCGTTAGTGACCTGCGCATGCACCTCTCCCTGGTTCTCAGCTTCCTGAAAACTCTCGGATTGCTGTGAGAAGATTTGGGCTCATCATGTCACGCCTCAGACCTTTTGCATCACCCAAATCCCAAATCCCAGGTTCTTCCCTCATCTCTTTCTTCTTTGCTTCTTAGTAACTGTCCACTTTCCTTGTGCCCAGACCCCTTTGAGATCCAGGGCATAGCCGGCTGTCAGCTGCACCCTGGCGGGGGCACCGAGAGCTTCCTGCGGGGGGCTCTGGGAGGACTGGACTTCGCGAGCCTCAAGAATTACTCCTGTGTGCCCGCCCCAGAGGGCGGCAGCAGGGCACAGCGCATCTGTGAGCTCACTAGTCAGTACAAAGGCATCCGGGACATCGGGGAGAAGCTCCTCTTTGAAACATGCCCTCGGTATCTCCTGGGCGTCCTCGATGCAGGGAAGACAGAACTGCAGAGAAAAGGTTAGTCCCATTCCCCCCTAAGGCTTTTCCCTTTCACTTCCCACCACTTTCCTTAAATTGAAGAGGAGGTACCTATGAAGAGAGGGACTTAATCAATAATCTGGTTTCCAAAGGAGGAGAAGGGGTCACTGTCCAGACTTGTGAGTTTCCAAATCCCTGTCCTCTAGAGTAGAGTCATAATCTGATACTCTCCCTGCTCCTTTCTGCCTCAGTGAAGCCTGAGGCCTGGCTGTCCGCTGGCCCCCGTCCCGGTCCTGGCCGTCTGCTGCTGGTGTGTCACGTCTCCGGCTTCTACCCGAAGCCTGTGTGGGTGATGTGGATGCGGGGTGAACAGGAGCAACAGGGCACTCAGCGAGACGACGTCCTACCCCATGCTGATGGGACGTGGTATCTCCGAGTGACTCTGGATGTGGCGGCCCGGGAGGCAGCTGGCCTGTCCTGTCAAGTGAGACACAGCAGTCTGGGAGGCCAAGACATGGTCCTCTACTGGGGTAAGAAAGAGCTGGGGCCCAGCTGGGCATGGGAGAGGTGGTCCTCAAGCATAGAAGGAGGCACTAGACACAGGTGGGTTGACCCATGAGAGGGGGCTGGGGAGGGACAAGAGGAGGGATAGAAGGAAGGGAGAAGGATGGAGGGATGGAGGGGGAGTGGGAGGGAGTCAAGGGGGGGGAAGGGGGAGAGGGGAGGAGGGCTAGAGTAGGGGTGGAGGGACAGAGGGGACATACATCAAGAGTAGGTGACCATCAAGTAGAAAAAGGAAGGCCAGAAAATTCAGAGAATGGGTTTTGAAGTGACACCCTGCGTTCTTCCCCAATTTTCAGGAAACCCCATCTCCGTGGTCTTGATATCGTTGGCAATAATAGTGCCCCTCTTGATCCTTTTGATTGGTCTTCCCTGTGGGTTTTTGAGACGCTGGTGAGTTTTTGTTTTTCATCTTTTTTGTCTGCCTACTGGCTCTTTCAAACATTGCATCAATCACAACACCTTAGCCTCAGTCTCTCCACCAGACTCTCCCCTTTCTTCCCAGTCCCGTCTCCCTTACATCAATCTATCATTTAAATTGTGGTAAACCTACCCTCATAAAACTTAAAACCTACCATCTTCACCATCTTCAAATACACAGCTTAGAGGTATGAAGTACACTCACATCTTTGTGCAACCGATTTCTAGAGCTCTTTTCATCTTGAAAAACTAAAAGTGTATACACATTGAACAACGCCTCCACCATCCCTGCTCCCCAGGCCCTGGCACCCACCATGCTATGCTCTGTCTCTAGGAATTTGATGACTCTGGAGACCTCATATAATTGAAACCTTTACGAGTTGTCTTTTTGTGGCTGGCTTATTTCTCTCAGCACAAGGTCCCCGTGGTTCGTCCATGTTGTCCCACGTGTCACAATTTCCTTCCTTCTCAAGGCTGAGTAATGACATTCCTTTGCACCAACACAACACACTGTTTATCATTCATCTGTCGATGGATGCCTAGGTTAATTCCATGTTTTAGCCCTTTGTGAAAAATGTCACTGTGAACATGGGACCACAAGTGTCTATTCTATAGAGATATTTTTTGCTTGTGTTCTTCACAGGTCATATCAGAGTATCTCATGAACCCTTGTCATGACTCCTCTTCCATCTGGAAGAAGCACCCAGAAGCCTAGAAGCTCAAGCCATCAGCCTCCTATTTCATCAAACAATCCTGCTATTTGATCACGTCGAGTTCCCATAGGATGCAAGATAAATCACTACTTACAACTAGCAGAAAAGTAATAGAAAACCGTCAATTTATTATGAGATGGTATCAATAGTACGGTCGCCCTGATCTACATGTGAGATGTGGAAAAGAATGTGTCTTAGAATAAACGGAATATGGTATACAACTTGCGGGTGACGTCTCTTTGGTTTTCTATTTTAAAGCTTTTTTTGGTTCTGCTTCTGCTGAAATGTCCTTTGTCAAAGTAAGCTAACGATAATCATGCTGCGATGGTTGTATTTGCAGAGCTGCTGAGCATGCTTGCCACAATGTCTCTGTCTCTGCCTCGATGACTTTCTAACCCTAGAGGCACAGCTGAGATGCTTCTTCCTCCAGGAAGCCTTCCTTAGTGCTACAGTGGAAGTGTGGCATCACGCAGAGATCTACTTCACTCTGTACCCATGGCGTTGAGCTACTTCTGACTTTCTTCTCCCTTTACTTGTGAGTTCCTTGAGAGAAGAGCTTGCCCCAGGTGGATCTCTGGCAAGATCTCTTCTGTGCATGAGCATTTGCTCATTGAAAATGGTCTGAGTTGATGTAATTGCCACATTGACAGGCTTTTTTTTCCAAAGTTTATAGCTTTTCTTCTCCCCAACCCCGTAGTTGATATTCTCAATTTCTCTCTTTCTAAGATATTTCTCAATTACAAAAAAATACCATGCTTTACTCCTTTCTGCCCTGAAGCCTCCTAGAGAAAATCTCTCGAGTCCTCGCTGTGACCACAGTCCAGCTGCTGAGATTCTGGATGGGCCCCTGCTCCCCATGTTCCAGTGAGGAGGAGAAGCAGGATGGAGGAGGGCGGGTAACACAGCAGGGGGTTAAATAACCCTGTGAAAGACTCAAGAGGGATTTTTAAAAAATATCTGTGCTGTAGCAATTCAGTCATATTTGATTTACATTGATGTTTCATCATTCTTTTGCCTCTTCCATAGTTTTTTAGAAGCCCCATTTAAAAAATTCAAACTCATTTTTATTAAAACAGCAGGAGGAGGAAGGACGGGGAAACTTTGAGTGTATTTTTTATAGAAATTTGGGAAGGGAGGTCAGAATAAGCAGAGACTTTGGGGAAGCCAAAAGTACTGGAAGCAATTTTCCCATTCGAGGAGAATGTGAACTTTAGGATTGGGGAAGGTTAGGAGAAATACGTAGCTTCCTCTCTTCTCCGTTAGCACATCTGGTCACTCTCAGGACGCATTACACTGCACCTTACCTTAGAGCGAGGCACACTTAGCTACCACCTGGAGCCCCGATGAGTGTGTTTTTTGGAGTGTGATGATGAATTAGCAGCAGGAATAGTACCTATAAACTTGCTAGCAACAGAAGTCTTCAGGCCTACCCTAGACCTCTTGAATCAGGAAATGCAGGAATAGGAACCAGAAATCTGTATTTTAACAAACATTTCTGCTCGTTCTGATGTACAAATAAGTTTGAGAAACGCTTCTCTAAAGATTTCTCAGCATTGTACTATTGACATTTTGGGCCAGAAACTTCTCTGTTAGGGAGTGTTGTCCTGTGTGCTATAGGATTTTGAGCAGAATCTTGGGCCTCTACCCACTAGATGCCAGTAACACTTCCCCAGTTCTAACAACCAAATGCATCTTCAGACATTGTCAAATGTCTCCTATGGGGCAAAATGGACTCCAGATGAGAATCATGGTCTAAGATAATGAACATAACTTCATCCCCCTGCTTAGTTAGAATAACTGGTTCATAGTGTGTATGTGACCTAATTTGGTCCAATCCAACTAAAGCCTGAGTTTCCATTTGGTGGTTGAGGAAGGAGGGGCTCTCTCTTTGGATGGCATCATATGCCTTCAAAGTTCAAAACTTCGCTATAGAGTTTTGTTCCAAAAGCAAAGCTGACCCAGGAATGGAGTTCACAAATAAAACAGAATGATGGAATAGAGGGCCAAAGGCCAGATCAAGCTATACCTGCAGACTGTCCTCCTCTGAGTATCTTAGTTATTGGGATCTAACATGTTTCATTTTTCCTTTTGAATCAATTGGGCTGGAACTTTAGTTGCTTAAAAATTCTGATAGTCCTGTGATTTCTGATGTCTTGCAATAGCTCCTTCATTTTCTTCTTATACCTTTTATTTACTCTCCTTGTCTCCTCCCTTCTCCAAATCATCCCTCCAAGGTGGTTTTTTGGGCTTATGATTTTCCTCTGATTGTCCTCCTAGAAAACCTTAATGCACCCATGATTTAATTATAACCTCTGAATGAATGGCCTTCAGAAATAGATCCTCACTCTCAAATACAAGGGCTTTCCAACTCTTTTTGAGGGAGTGTGTATGTGTACATGTCTGTGCAATTTCTGCTAGTATATAAAAATATGTTTAAAATATTTTCTCTTTGCTTCTAGTATTCATGTTAAATTAACTTATTATGTTTAATATTTTATCTGTAGATCCTATGGATTTTCTATACATAATCTCCTGACATCACTAAATATGAAAATTTCAATTTTTTTTTCCAATCCTCCATCTTTTATTGCATTTTCTTGCCCAGTTACACTGGCTGAGACCTCCAGTACACTGATGAATAGAATTATTGACAGCTGACATTCTCATCTTTTTTTTTTAAAGATTTATTTATTTATTTGAGAGAGAGAGAGAAAGAGCAGTGGGCAGGGAGGCAGAGAGACAGGGGAGCAAGAATCCCAACTCAACATGGTGTCAGATGTGGGGCTCAATCCCATGACCCTGAGATCATGACCTGAGCTAAAACCAAGAGTCGGATGCTTAACGGAATGCACCACCCAGGTACCCCCCATCTTTTTACTTATATCAGACAAGAATTATTCAGGAGTTAATATTAGTTATAATAATTGCTGTGTGCTTCATGTTCACTTTTTAAAAAATCAGATTAAGCACTTTTTCAAATTTGATAAAAACTTTTTATATTCCTTACTATTATGGATAGTTTTTGAAATGTATTAGGTGCTTCTTCTGCATTTCTTGAAATGACAACATGTTTTATATCTTTTTTCTCCTGAATGTTAGAAATCACACTTATTGATTTTCAAATGATAAATTAAAATTATGTTTCGATGAACTATCTTGTCATAATGTATGTATATGGATTCAGTTTGAATATTTTATTCATTTTTTAGAATAATGTCCTTGTCAGGACTTTTTGCTTCATAAAATGATTTGGAAAATCTTTCTTTGTATCTATTCTCGGGGAGATTTTGTAGTTTTTCTTTTTTTCCCCCTTAAATATTTGGCAAAATTTATCATTGAAGTCTAATACATTGTTTTTGTTTGTTTCGGTGTGGGAAGGATTTTAAATTTAACTGCTAATTTTTAAAAATACATATAGGTTTACTCAAATTGTCTATTTCTTTTTGTGTTAGCTTTGGTAAGTAAGATTTATCCAGGTTGTTCCAATGTCCAGTTGCTTATCAGCTTGTTCATAATGTCCTTATTGTCATTACCATCTTTTTACAAGATCCTGGAAATTTGTTCTCTCTTTAGTTTGTTCTTTCTGTTTCTCATTTTTACAGGGGCTCATCAATTTTATAAAGTTTTCAAAAAGTAACTTTTGGCTTTTCTGGTTCTCTCTATGAGTGTATCATTTTATTATTTCCCTCCTTCTACAAACATAACCGGAGATATTGTGGATTTACTTCCATACCACCACAATGAAGCAAATATAATAAAGTGAGTCAAATGAATGTTTTCATTTCCCAGTGCATATGGAAGTTACATTTATACTATATTATACTATAGGCTAATAAATACACAGAAGCATTATGTCAAAAAAATGTACTTATCTTTTGTTTTAAAATGTACTTATCTTAATTGAAAATATTTCATGGTTAAAAAAGCTAATCATCCTCTAAACTTTAAGCAAGTAATAATCTTTATGCTGCTAGAGGGTCTGCCTTCATATTGGGGGCTGCTGATTGATCAGGGTGGTGGTTACTGGAGGCTGGAGTGGCTGTGACAATTTCTTAAATTAGACAACAGTGCAGCTTGCTGCACTAGTAACTCTTCCTTTCACGAAGGTTTCTCTGTAGTATGTTATGCTGTTTGGTAGAATTTTACCCACAGTAGCACTTCTTACAAAATTGGAGTCAACCCCCTGAAACCCTGCCACTCTTTTAGAGAACAAGTTTATGAAATATTCTAAATCCTTTGTTGCCATTTCAAGAATCTTCACACCATCCTTACTAGGAGTGAATTCCAGCTCAAGAAGACATTTTCTTTGCTCATCCACAAGAAGCAACTCCTCATCCATTTGAATTTTATCATGAGATTGCAACAATTTAAATATAATAATAATGAAAATGTTTGAAATATTGCAAGGATTACCAAACTGACACAGACGCCAAATGAGCAAATGCTGTTGGAAAAATGAACTGATGGACTTGCTCAATGCAGGATTCCAAAACCCCTTTGATTTGCAAAATATGCACTATCTGCAAAGCACAATGAAGTGAAGCTCCATAAAATGAGGCATTTTCTTTGCATTTAACCTGCTGTAATCAACAAATTCCAGTGTGTGCAAGAGGGGGTTTCCCACACACAAACACCAAGAAAGTTTCTGACACCATTGGGATGTCCTACAACAATTCAATGCAATTGTATCTATCTGGAGGGAGCATCAGATCCCACCCATCAGACTTTCAGCCCTTCTGAGACTGCACATCACACTTGAGATGCCAGTTGCAAGTTTAGGTGGTCACCTGTGTTTCTGACCATCCAGCTATAGACGGGAGGTCCCATGACTTCTTCCTTGGGTTCGATCCATTTGCTGGAGTGGCTCAAAGAACTCAGATAAACATATTATTTTACTAGATCATCAATTTATTGCAAAAGAATATCACTCAGGAATAGCCAGATAGAAGAGATGAACAGGGCAAGGTGTGGGAAAGACCCTGAAGCTTCTTCCAGGTCTTCCCGAGTGTACCATTCCCTTGAGTCTGCATGTGTTCCCCAACCTGGAAGCACCCCAAACCAGTCGTTCTGGGTCTTTATAGAGGCTTCATTACATAAACATGGCTGATTAAATCACTGGCCATTGACAATTGATTAAACCTCTAGCCTCTCCTCCCTCTCCTAGGATCT